TACACAGCCGGGGCTGTTTTGTAACTTGCTGTCTAATTTGGTCAGGTCTGAACCTTAATGCCTTCCTCCCTTGGCCTCCCCAGTGCCAGTGTGACAGGGTGTCATCACCACACCTGCTGCTTGGCCTCAATCTGGAACTTCTGTATATTTGGGATACTGACATTTTTGAAGAGAAGCTCTGCTGCCCCTTTAAAAGTCCACGTTCCTGAGGGTGCCTCTTGGTGAACCCTTCGTCATACAGTCTCTCACAGGATGCATAAGTGAACAGTATCTCTCTGAAGATGCCACATCTGGGGATGGCCAGTGTCCAGACACCTGCTGTGCACCATTAGGTTGTTTGGGTTTTTTTAGTTTGTTTGTATAAGTAAGGGAGATGGGTTTTTTTTAGCTCTTAACTTCAGAAGCATTGGTTAGTCAGCTGACTCCATTAATTTGTATCTGAGGTGATTCAGAACATTGTGGTCTGTGTTGACTGGAATGTGGCTCAGTTGACAGAGAGTTTACCCAGCATGCACTAAGCCCTGGGTTCTGTCTCCACTACTGCATAAACTGGATACTATGCTGCATGTTCTTAATCCCAGCTCTGCAGAGGTAGAGGCAGAAGGAGCAGGCGTTCAACACCCTTCTCACAGACATAGGGAGTTTGAGGCCTGCATAGGCTACACGACCTGACTGAAATATAAAGAAGGAAGACGCTGGAGAGACAGTTCAGCAGTCCAGAACACTCACTGAGCTCAGAAGTCCCAGCATCCACATGGTGGCTCAAATTGCCTGTAACACAGCTCCAAGGGACACAGTAACTTTTTCTGGCCTCTTCAGGCGCTGCACTCATATTGTACAGACACAAGTATGCACATGCACACACCCACACACAATTAAAAACAAAATTAATCTGACATTGTAGCTGTCTTCAGACAGACCAGAAGAGGGCATCGGATCCCATTACAGATGGTTGTGAGCCACCATGTGGTTGCTGGGAATTGAACCGAGGACCTCTGGAAAAGCGGTCAGTGCTCTTAATCACTGTGCCATCTCTCCAGCTGAACAAAATTAATCTTAAAAGAGAAAAAGGGAAGTAAAGGGCCAGGGTGGAGCTCAGTGGTGGAGAACATGCCGGTAAGTGCCAGGTTTTGGGTTGTGTTCCTAGGACCAAAGTCTAGAAGAGAACCAAGCATTCTGTCATTATTTGAATATGATATAAGTATGTACTCACTGTCAATCAATCAGCACAAAAACTAGGACAAATAGACAGATCTTTTTTCCAGTTACAAGAGTAGTACACGGAATCTATGTGAGGGGCTGGGGACACAGCTCAGAGGAGAAACGTGCTTGCTACACACATGTGAAGGCCTGAGTTTACTTCCTCAGCACCCAACCCGTGTAAAGTGTCAGCATATCCATGCACGCCTGTAGCCCCAGTGCTGAAGGAAGCAGACACATGAGGTGTCTGAGCACTCATTGGCTAGTCAGCTACCTCCCAAGCCAGCCATCTCCAGCACTCATATGACCTGACATCTTCCTCTGGTCTTGGCATGCAGGCTCAGAAGTGTGTACACACACACACACACTCATTAAGAAGATAATAAAATGATTTCACTTCTTTAACTGTTAATAAGCAATTATAAATTGTTAAAAATAGCATTCACAATCCCAACAAAAGTAAGATTTAAAAGGGAAGAAAACACAAGATTCCTTGTAGTAAACTTGATTTATCAGAATGAATTTTCAAAAGCCTGGGAACAAGAGTAAGCATGCCATGTGCTATTCCTCCCCGAGCGCTGAAGGGTGGTCATGTCAGCCACGCCCCTGCCCCTCAATGAAGCCTTCTAGGTGGGGGCTCTACCATTGAGCCACACCCCCTACTCCTCAGTGAATCATTCAAGGTGGGAGCTCTACCACTGAACCACGCTCCCTTCCCCCTCACTGGCTGTTTTGTCCTTGTCTTTAGTACAGTATTGGGGTTACACATGCGTGTTTGGCTACACCTGCCTTTCACACAGGAGCAGTGGGTTTAAACTCCAGTCCTCTTGATTGCAAACCGAGCTTTCTTATCCACCGAGGCATCACCCCAGTTTCCTTTTTTTTTTAAGACGTGGTCTCACCATGCAGTCTATGCTGGCCTTAACGTTGTGGTTCTTCTGTGTTATCTTCCTGAATGCAAGTAAGAGTGCACCACCCTTCCGACCACAATGGATGCACACTGAGGATATTTTAGTTATAGGGTATTCCCAATCCCAAAATTGGAACCCACACTGTTCAAAACCCAAGCTTTGTGAGCACTGGTGCAACACAGAGCAAAGTTCTTCGCCTGTCTTGAAGTCACAGTCTCTGCACCCCTGTGAGAGCTATGACGTTACCATCAGGCTGCCTGTAGAAGCTGTGTATGAAACATAAATGATTTCTGTTTGTCTCGATGGGCCGTTTACATTTTTTGTTTTGTTGTTGTTTGTTTGTTTTTGAGACAGGGTTTCTCTGTGTAGTCCTGGCTGTCCTGGAACTCACTCTGTAGACCAGGCTGGCCTCAAACTCAGAAATCCACCTGCCTCTGCCTCCCAAGTGCTGGGATTAAAGGCGTGCGCCAACACCTCTAGTTGTGGGGGGCCTTTACTTTAATTACGTGTATGTGTGTAAGTCTGTGTGTGGGTATGTGCATGAGTGCAGTGTCCTCAGAGCCCAGAAAAGAGCACTGGAGCCCCTGGAGCTGGGGTTACAAGTTGTTGTGAGCTAAGAACTAAACTAGGCTCCTTGGTAAGAGCAGCAAGCACTCTTAACTGCTGCGCCATCTCTTCAGAACCCCCCCCCACACACACACACACAAGTTATTTTAATAAGAGAGCCAGCTGCATTTAACTGGACACCTACTTTGTGACAGACACTCATCTAGTCCTTTGCTCATTTCACGGTAGAGAGGAAGAACCGAGAAACACGTAGTGTGCCTGGAAGGCAGCCCATTAGACCCCAGGGTACAAACTTCGGAGCTCAGCAGGCCCTACATTGAGTGTCACACTCCTCAGTCTTGATACTGATCTTTGGGGTCACCCTAATACTTGCTCAACATGTTTTCCTGGAACTAATCTGCTCCCAAGCTTATGAACTGCTTCCTGCTCTACACCACCCCTGCCCTGAGCTTCAGCCTAGGCTGATCAGACAGACAGACATCAGAGACAGAGCCTCCTGTTTGACACTGGCCCTCCATTCCAAGCATCATAAGGTATGTGATAAGATCTGGGTGTGCAGCATGGATTTGGAGAGTTCAGGGGGTGAGGAGTGGGGAAGAGAAGGCATATGTGAGCAAGGAAGTCACACAAGGTATGGTGTTATGGTTTATGCTTATAGTTCTAGCACCCAGGAAGCTGAGACAGGAGGATTGCCAGTTTGAGCATAGAAGACCTAGTCTTAAAAAGCAAGCAAGCAAACAAACAAACAAACAAACAACCAAGGACTTGGGACTTAGTGAGAAAATGTTTGTTTAATGTATCCAAAGACTGGGGTTCACTTCTCTGCAGAATCCCAGTCAGAGGGTGACACTGCCCATCCCTGCTTAGATGCCTGACTTTCACACAGGTTCTCTCATTGTCCTGGGATTGAGTTGGCTAGAGTGTCTGCCCAAGGGATCCCAGGGATCCTCCTGTCTTTGTCTCCCACCAATGGTATTAAAAACATGCAGTGCCAAGTCAAGGCTTTTGTGTGGGTGTCAGAGACTAATCTCAGGTTCCCATAACTGGCAGCAAACACGTCACCAACCACGAGTCTCTCCAGACCTATTCTGTCTTATAGCCTGCTCCTCACCTGGCATGGTGCAACCTGTGGTGACTACTTGTTCTGCCCCGGTGCCACAGCTCCTTTCAGACTGGGAGTTGATACGTGTATCTGTAAATTCATGGCTTCCATTTCATTTAGTAAATTTGAGGGCAGTATTTCTAGACATGCACACCCCATCAGAAGGTTAGCCTCAAAACACTATGCCTTTTAATACTACACCTCCCGGTCTGTGATCCAGAAACCACATCTGGATGCGTATGCTTTTACACCTCCCAGTCTGTGATCCAGAAACCACATCTGGATGCGTATGCTTTTACACTTCCCGGTCTGTGATCCAGAAACCACATCTGGATGTGTATGCTTTTACACCTCCCGGTCTGTGATCCAGAAACCACATCTGGATGCGTACGCTTTTACACCTCCCGGTCTGTGATCCAGAAACCACATCTGGATGCGTATGCTTTTACAGGACCTAATCCTCTCATTTATTTGTTTATTGTTTCTTTGTTTATTTATGTTTTGTTTTGTTGTTGTTCTAGGGGAATTGAACTCTGGGCCTTAAAAAAGCCCTCTCTTGCTGAGCCACACCCCAGCCCCTACTGGTGGATTCTAGGTAGGGGTACACCTGAATCACACCCCTGCCCTTCAGTGGAATGTTCTAGGCAGGGGCAGCTCCTGACCTAAACTCCTGCTTTGTATTCATAGTCTACCTTGATACAGGTCTCACTAAGTTTCCTGGGCTGGCCTGGCCTTAACTTTGTTCTGCAGGTCAGGCAGATCTTTACCTGAGACTCTCCTGCCTCAGCCTCCTGAGCAGCTAGAATAACATGTGTATGTCCTAAGGCTCTACTTGCTTTTCTTTCATGGTTTCTCTTCCTTTGATTGGATTATTTCTATTGATTTGTCTTCAAATTCATTAATTTCATCCCCAATCTGTAAAATACAAACAGTTCCAATTGTTTTTTGAGCTTTTTAAATTTCCACTTAGTTATTTTTGCCATTTCAGAATCCTACTATGATCCCCTGGCTATTAATTTCTTGTGCCTTATTGCCACGAATCCTCCAACGAGGGGCTTGGGTGAGGCTATGTGGTAGAGACCTTGCCTACAAGGCAGGAACCCGTCGGCCTCACCCCCACACATACAATTTGAAGATATTAATGGCTTTGTCTTGGGGAGGGTCATGGACTCTAGTGAGATGTCATTGGTGGCTCTGACATGTGGTTCTTCTTCTGCAAGATGGCGGATCTCAAATGCCAGCCCGTGGAGGTGTGGTATCTCCGCCAGCTCACCATCACCGTCCTGTTCGTGTCCTGTGTTGCTGGAGTCCTGGGGAATGGACTGGTGCTGTGGATGGCTGTATTCCGCATGGCCCGCACTGTCACCATGATCTGGTTCTTCAACCTGGCCCTAGCTGACTTTACTGTCCTCCTGTCTGTGCCCGTTTCCATATATATCATAGTCTATGGCTGGTGGCCATCTGCCAAGTTGGTCTGTAAACTCTACATGGGCTTTCTGGTCCTCTCCTTCTTCGTCAGCATCTACTTGCTGGTCCTCATCTCTGTGGATCGCTGCATCTTGGTCCTGTACCCTGTGTGGGCCAGAAACCACAGAACGGTGCAGCGAGCCACATGGTTGTCCATCGCAGTGTGGCTGCTGGCAGCTGCTGCCTGTTCTCCATACTTGATGTACCGAACCACCGGGGAACTACATGGCTGTGGATATTGCTACTTTGACTTCAATTCAGAGAAAGAGACAGGGCAGGATTGGAGTGCAATGGTTGCTAAGCGACAGATGGCAATAGCCATCACTCACTTCCTGTTTGGCTTCCTAGTACCTCTGACTGTCATCAGCACCTGTGCCCACTGCATCCGGTCCAGGCTCCAGACAGAGGGCTGGGTGCATGCAAGGCGGCCCAAGAGGCTGCTGCTGGTGGTTGGAAGCGCCTTCTTCATCTTCTGGTTCCCTTTTAACGTGGTGCTCTTGGTGAAGTCAGTGCTTCTGACATCTCTGCAGCAGCTCCACTACCCCGAGATGGAGCTCATCTCATGGGCTACCTTCGCCTTGGGCTGTTTCAACAGCTGCCTCAACCCCTTCCTCTATGTCTTCATCGGCAGAGATTTCCAGCAGAAAATTTTCCAGTCTCTATCTTCTGCCCTAGTTAGAGTGTTTGGGGAAGAAGGTTTTATCAGTCATCCTGTTCCTGAGGCCAATACTCCATCAGAGGGTAGAAACCATACAGTTCAAACTAGAAGTCCATCTTCGTAGTCTGTAAACAAATACATTAACTTCTGAGACAAGCTTCTACTTCTAGGAAGTCCTCCCAGGAATCCATCCTCAAAAGCCTTCTAGTGTTGGCATCAGCATCTGTTTCCCAAATGGTGAACAGTGAATACAAGAATCCTTTGCAACTGTATACAGCCATGTGACTGAGATCTGGGCAATAGTCTGTTAAGTATGCAATGTAACCTCCTTAAAGTGACTGAATGTAAGGGCTCTGTCCACCCTTCCTTAGTTTGACTAGAAATGGAATGTGTTAGCCAGTTTTTACTATTTGATGAACATCCCCTTTCAAGTTTAAAGGCATTTAAAAAACAAAACCCACATGGGAATGGAGAGATGGCTCAGTGGTTAAGAGCACTGGTTGCTCTTACAGTAGATCCGATTGTGATTCCTGGTGCGCCCATATGCTAATTTCCATACTTCCGGTTGCTGGGGATCCGACACCCTCTTCTGATCTCTGCTAGAACCAAGCTTAGTCATCTGTGCAAGCAAACCACTCATGCATGTTGTCTTAGGGTTTTGCTGCTGTAAAGACACCATGACCAAGGCAAGTCTCATAAGGATAACATTTAATTAGGGCTGGCTTACAGGTTCAAAGGTCCAGTCCATTATCAGACAGGAGCATGGCAGCATCCAGGCAGGCATGGTGTAAAAAGAGCTGAGAGTTCTACATCTTGGTCCGAAGGCAAACAGAAGAATATTGGCTTCCAAGCATCTAAGATGAGGGTCTCAAAGCTCACCCCCACAGAGACACATTTCCTCCAACAAGGCCACACCTCCTAATAGTGGCACTCCCTGGGCCAAGTGTGTACAAACCATCACACATGTTAAATAAGTAAATCTAAAAACCAGAAAACCTTTCATGATTTCTGCAGCTCAGCAGTCTGGGCTGGGATCAGCTGAGCATTTTTCTCATCATGGTTGGACTCTCTCATGCTCTGTTCTGAGGAGCAGCTGGCTGTTGGCTGGAATGAGTACAAAGACTAAGCCATAGAGTTTCCAGTCTCCCATATGGTTGCTTTGTGTATATGTCTGTGTGTGTGTGTGTGTGTGTGTGTGTGTTTATTTAAAGACAACCTTGGGTGTTACTCCTCAGGTGCCATCAACTTAGCTTTTTTGAGACAGTGTCTCTCATTGGTCAGGAACTCACCAGCTAAGATCGCTGGCTGGAGAGTCTGTGGGATGTATATGTTTCTGCCTCCCTGAGGCTGAGATTACAAGTGTGCAAGATCACATCTAAGCTTTTTAATGTGGGTTCTAGGGATTGAACTCAGGTCCCTGTGTTTTACACTGCAGTGCTGTAGTGACTGAGCCTCTCCCAGGCCCACTAGAGAGGGGTTTACAAGTGAGAGGCAGGGTGGGAAGTGGACATTGGTGACTTCTGCGCCACACTACTGGGTAAGGCAAGTCTCAAGGGCATCCAGAACCCAGGCATGAGGGACATGGCTTGCAAGACCTGTAAAGCTATATTGCACAGAAGAAACAGAACAACCATTTTGTACTCTGCCACAGTCACTGTGTAAGATGTTCTGTGTCCCCATGGAATCTTGGTGATGGCCCTGGGGTGTTGGCTCTGAGGCCAAGGAAAGGATTGCAAATCTAGCTCACTGATGACCCTGTCCACACCTCAGATAAACTTCAGGAGTCTCTCTCTCTCTCTCTCTCTCTCTCTCTCTCTCTCTCTCTCTCTCTCCCTCTCCCCCCCCATGTGTGTGTGTGTGTGTATGTGTGTGTGTGCATGCACACACACGTGTGGACATGTACATGCTATGGCATGCACGTAGAAGTCAGAGAACAACTTTCTGGGGTTGACTCTCTCCTACCATGTGGGTCTTGGGAAATCTAACCCAAGGCAGCAAGCACTTTGTGGGGGGCAGCCATCACACTGGCCCAGGACTAGGCATAAATCAAGATAGTAGATGTTTCTACTACCCAGTTGGAATCAGGTTCTCCACCAACTGAAACCCTAAGCAGCCCTTAATTAGTGCATTCCATAAGTACTCCTTCCCTCCTTGGTGTGGTGGTACAACTCTGTAATTACAGCACCAGGGAGGCTGAGAAGGGAGGGTTGCAAGTTCAAGGCCAGCCTTGAATACATAGCAATCTGTGCCAGACCACAGAATGCCAACTGGATTGAGATGAGGGCATGCCACAGACTCCTTGTCCAGTGCTCTCTCAGCTCTGAGGCCTGGGCTGTCTTTGGTGGAGAATCCTAGTTCAAATCTTACTAAGCACATCTCTCAGCCTCCAGGGTAAGTTCTATCACAAAAACCTGTACTGAAGCTGCCTGCTGGCATGGGTCCTAAGCTGGGTAACAATGGGGACACAGATATAAATCAGTTATGAGAGAATCACAGGCCAGCTAGGCTTATATTGTAAGAACACCTCTCTGAAAAGAAAAGCAAAAATTGGGAAAGGCTCCTAAGGCCATGCTGCCTCCTGAGGATGTGTAGGCAGGCACTGGCTGCTGGGGGACAGAGACATCTTCTCCAGTGGTATAGCCACTGGAAAGCTTCTCAGGCCCCTGTGAGCAATCCCAGTTAAACTCATTGGGTCACACACAAAAAGACATTACCATAGAAGCTGTAGGTTAGTCAGGGTTCTCTAGAGGAGCAGAGCTGACAGAGCGAAAGCATACTGAAAGGACTGACTAGACTGACTTTCATGGTGTGGCCTGGACAGCCCAACAATGGCTATCTTCACAATGAAGAGATTTGAGAACAAGTGGCTGTTCAGTCCATGAGGCTGGGACGCCTCAAGAGTTCCAAGCTGATGATAAAGGCCTTGAGGATTCTGGGTGAGCCACTGGTCTTCAGTCCACATTGGAAGAGAGAAGAGACTGAGCTCTGAGGTCAGGGAAGGGTGACAGAAGCAGCAGCAGCAGAGTTGATGAACTTAACTTTGTCAGCAAGACACAAAGGCAAGTAGGCAAAAAGCAAAAGCTTTCCCCCAAGACCTCCTGTGTCTGGACCTCCACTGGAAGGTGCTGTCCACATTGAGGGTCGGTCTCCCCATGTCCATGAATGTAATCAAGAAACCCCCTCCCAGGTGTGCCGCTTAGTTGATTCCAGATGTGGTCAAGTTGACAACCAAGATTAACCACAGGGAACTCTTGTGTAGCAAAGATTAAAAATCTTTATCTTGGAGGCTGTCTCCTTAATCTAGAAAGTAACAAACAACTCAAAGTCTACAGGAAGTCCCTGAAATTGAGCAGACTCACTAGGCACCTCCCTCCCCATGCATACAGAAACAGTAAAGACTGCTGAGGGTCACTTGCAGACCAACTGAACTGTCTGGGAAACACAACCTTTAAGCTGTTGAGCTGTCTGCAGGCTGTGCAGGGTCCCGGTTTTTTGTGAGTTGTTGCCTACCCATGCTAGGATGAGCTTTGGTCAAAGTTGGCTGTCTTTGAGTAATTTCTGCTCCTGTAAGTAACCCTAATAAAACTCACTGGTTCACCAAGACGGACTTTGGAGGCATCTGTTCTTTGTTCTGTGGTCAGTTCCCTATTCAGGGTAAGTAGATGTTTATGTCTCGCCAGGAATAATGTTACATGATAGTGACTAGGGGGCAAAGGAAAGAATTCAGTAGGTATGGAGGGGATAAGAGAGAGAAATGGGGATAAGTGTGATTAAACATTATGTGATAAACATGGAAGACTGTGCCATAACGAAACCTACTATTGTGTGCAATTAATACCTGCTAATTTAAAAACAAACAAAAAGTGAAACAAATGAAGAAGAATCAGGGAAAAAATCAAACAAGATAACAAGATCCGCCATTACAGGGAATGTCTTGAAGCTCCAGAAAGCCTTAGGAAGTGTGGATCATGACCCATTTATCTGTCATGATCACTTATCTGTCAGCTCTCCATCCCCATCTCCTGAGAACAAGGATCTCCTCTGAATATCACTCCCAGTGTCTACACCAGGAGGCTCACTGCTGCCACCAACTCCAGCTTCAGGTGTTCTGATGCCCTCTTCTGACCTCTGTAGGCACTGCACTCAACCCCTTCTATCCCCTGACAGATACACACACTTTATATAAATAAAAAAAGGAAGGACGGAAGAAAGGAAGGAAGGAAGGAAGGAAGAGGGGCTGGAGAGGAGAGACAGTGTAGTGGTTAAGAGTTATTGGCTGCTTTTCAGATGACTCCAGTTTGACCCCAAGCTCCCACAAGACAGTTTACAACCATCTGTAACTCCAATTCCAGGGTCACTCAACACCCTCTTCTGGCTTCTGAGGGCACCACGTACACAGACAGACACACATGCGGGCACTATAAGTGCTAACAGCTCTGAAGGGAAAGGTACCTTGGCAGTCAGGAGCACACTCTCATCATACAACAAACCTCATAGAAGATGGAGGGAGGTTTTACGTAGGACTTCTTGGGGTGGAGCTTTCTAGGGTGGCCTGGGATAGGGTGGAGCTTGTCTTCTTGCATCTTTAGGGACTGGGTCCAGCTGCTAGAGCATTCTGGAGGGCAGGGCCTGGTTGTTGGGTATCCTCAAGTGTGGGGCCTGGCCACTTGTATGCTCCAGGGTCTTACACAGGCAAAAACCATGCTAGTTTTAAAAATTTACACATAAAAGTAAATCTTTGTTTTTGAAAGAAAGAGGACTCAAATCTCCTTGGACATTGCAGAACAACATTTGAAAGAATTCCTGTGCTCTAGGGACAGACAAATAGAAGCCACACTTCATTCAGAAACCTCAATGTCATACTCAGAGGAAGATCTGTACATTTAAATTTTAACTACAAGGAGAAAACAAGGTCCAAAAGAAAATTACCAAATGATGTTCAAGAAGTGTAGCAGGGTATTTATTCGGCTACACTGTATTTGAAGTGGAGCTCAGTGATTAGGCAGTAGAGGGGGAAGGGGAGGGGAGAAAGAGAGGAAGAAGTGGGACGACCAGAGGAGAGAGAGGTGGAAGGACTACGGAGAAGAAGGGCGTGGCCTGGAAAAGCCTCACGTTATAAGAGAT